GCACTAAAGCTTGTGCTGATTTTTTTTTTTTTAGAGAGACTTTAAAGATTTGAGAAAGAGAGAGAGAAAGAGAGCATGCCTGGTGCGTGCACAGCAGGGAGAAGGGAAGGGGAGGGGGAGAGGGAGAGGGAAAAGCAGGCTCCCCGCTGAGCAGGGACCCAGACACAGGGCTCGATCCCAGGACCCCGGGATTATGACCTGAGCTGAAGGCAGTCGCTTGAGTGACTGAGCCACCCAGGTGCCCCATAAATCCTGTGCTAAGTTCCTAATGTACTTGAACTTATTTAATCTTTATAATAACTATTTGAGGGTGTTGTGGAAAAAAGGAGGCTTAGAGAAGTTAAGGAAGTTTCCCAAGACTGACTAACCGATGAGTGGAAAATCAAGCAGTTAAGCCATTTTATCAGACTCCAAACCGCAGGCTCTTTATTTAAAAGGGGAGGGGGGCAGGTGAGTGGCTTAGCAGCTGCACATGTGAGCATTATGTAGAGATTTTAGGCAGCAGGAACGCAGATATGAGTCAGCAGTTTTGATGTGGCTGTCAAAAAAAAAAAAAAAAAAAAAAAAGATTCAACCTGTAGCTCCATCACTAATAATAGCTCAAGTCTATTAAGTATTGGCCCTGGCCATGTGTGAGGCCCTGTTCTAAGTACTTTACATGTATTGACTCCTTCTGTCTTCCCAACAATCTCACAAGGGTCGTCTTTTTATACAGATACAGGAACGGGAGCTCAGGAAGGTTAAAAATCTTGCCTGGAATTACAACAGCCAGAATGTGATGAAGACATGGAGGAGCGGCTTCTGTCCTCTCCTCTGACTCTGCCTAGACCTTCCCTCAGGTTCAGTAAATGTGTCTGGAAAAGCAAGGTGGGGGAATGCCGAGTTCACAAGACTCCAGGCATTGTTTACGTGGTTCGTTCTCCGTGTGCAAAGAGTGTCCACCTGGAGATTTCAGGGACATGAGAGAGTTCCATGCCCACACTGAGAACTGATTCAGAATCAGCATTTTTAAACAACCGTCTTGAGTGATTTTGACTTCCGGTTGCCCTCTGACGTTGCTCCAGAAACACCAGTCGAAGTGTTTTTCATGGCAGTCCAAGACTGGCTTAAGATATTTCGGGTACTGGGGGATAAAAGATTTGTCCCAGAGTCTCCGAAGAAGGGATTAAGAAGAAAACTTACATACACATGCTCATGGAGAGAGAGAGAGAGAGAGAGAGAGAGAGACAGAGACAGACAGACATGTTGTTTCTAATGCTCTCACAAAAGAAGGGTTGAAAATTAGGTACAGTTATGGAGGATATTAATTTTTTAATTATACAATCTGGGTATTTCTTGTTACATTTTTTCTTACAGTGCCTTTATTGCTTTTATGATCATAACAGCCATAAAAATAATATGTACAGTAAAAGTCATATTTTGGAGGAATATTATGACACTGGAAATCTGCATAATATAATTTTTAAATTAATAGACTTTATTTTTTAGAGAAAAATAGAGCAAAATTTTAGGTTCAGAGAAGCACACAGTTCCCAAATCCCATCCCCCACCAAAACACACAACCTCTCCACCAGCATCCACATCCCGAATGATCATAGTCTGCTTGTTAGGTCATTAGCCACCGAAGCCCATAGTTTATATTAGGGTTCACTCTTGGTGTTGTACCATCTGTGCTTTTTGACAAATTTATAATGGCATGTACCCACCATTATCATACAGAATAGTTTCACTGACTTCAAAATGCCCCGTGCTCACTCATTCATCCTTCCCTCTCTACCACCACCCCATACGACTGGGAGTCCCTGAGGGCCACGATCTATTATCTCCATAGTTTTGCCTCTTCACTGTGTTATATACTTGGAATCATATAGAATAACACCTTTCAGATTGCCTTCTTTCACTTGGCAACATACATTTAAGTTTCCCCTGTGTCTTTTCATGACTTGATAGTTGATTCATTTTTTATCACCGAATAAATACCTTCATGCAAATGTATCACAGTGTTTGCCTGTTGAAGGCCATCTTGGCTGTTTCCATGTTTGTGCAGTTGTTAATAAAGATAAATATTTGTGTGCAGGTTTTGTGTGGACATATGTTTTCGACCTAATTTAGAAATACATCAAGGCATGAGATTGCTGGAGCATACTTGGTTTGCTAAGTTTCATAAGAAACCACCCAACTATTGCATTTCCACACTCGGTGAATGGGAGTTCCCGTTGCTCTACATTCTCATCAGCGTTTGCTCCTGTCAGGGTTCTGGATCGTGTCCATTCCAGCAGGTGTGTGCTATGGTACCTCATTCACAGTCTTCAGTCGTAATTGTGTGGTGACGTATGCTGAGCGTCATCTCATAAGCCAATCGGCCATCTGTATATCACCTTTAGTGACGTGTCTATTCAGATATTTTGCCATTTTTTAAAATTGGGTTCTTTTTCTTCTTGTTGAGTTTTAAGTATGCTTATTTTGGACAATAGTCCTTTATCAGATATGGCTTTGCACAGGTTCTCTGTCAGTCTGTGACTCGTCATCTCGTTCTCTTGACAGTGGCTTTTGGGGAGCAGTTTGTAATTTTAATGAAGTCTAAGTTCTCAGCATTTTTGTCATGGATCATGTTTTTGATTTTGTACTGAAAAAGTCATCACCAAACCCAAGGTTGTCTAGGTTTTCTCTGAAGTAATTTTCTAAGAATTTTATAATTTTTCAATTTATATTTAAGTTTGTGATCATTGTTTTTCATGCGGATGTCCAATTGTTTCAGCATCATTTGTTGAATACACTATCCTTTCTCCATTAAATTGACTTTGCTTTTTTGTCAAAGAGGACTTGACTGTATTTGTGAGTCTGTTTCTGAGCTCTACATTTTGTTCTCTTTTTTTTTTTTTTTTAAGATTTTATTTATTTATTTGACAGAGAGATCACAAGCAGGCAGAGAGGCAGGCAGAGAGAGAGGAGGAAGCAGGCTCCCCTAGAGAGCAGAGAGCCCGATGCGGGGCTCGATCCCAGGACTCTGAGATCATGACCTGAGCCGAAGGCAGCGGCTTAACCCACTGAGCCACCCAGGCGCCCCTACATTTTGTTCTCTTTATCCCCTTGTCCATTCTTTCACCAATCCCCACACTGTATCATTTACTGTAGCTTTATAGTAAGTCTTGACGTTGGGTGGTGTCAGCAGTCCAACTTGTTCTTCAGTGTTTTGTTGGCTCCTCTGGGTCTTTTGCTTCTCCATATAAAGTTCAGAATCAGTTTGCTGATAGCCACAAAACAACTTGCTGAGAGACTGGGATTACTTTGAATCTGTACATCAAGTTGGAAAGCATCTTAATATTGAGTATTCTTACCCATGAACATGGGATATTTTGCATTCAGGTCTTGTTTGATTTCTTTCATCAGAGCTTTGCAATTTTCCTCATATAGATCTTGTACACGTTGTATTGATACCTAAGTATTTCACTTTTTCCGTGTGCTAAGGTGGGTGGTATTATGTTTTAAATATCAAATTCCAGTTGTTCATTGCTGGTATATAGGAAGTTGATTGACTTTTGTACAGTAATCTTATATCATGCAAACTTGCTATAACCCATATTTGTGCCAGGTTAATTTTTGGTGGGTTGCTTGAAGTTTTCTACATAGATGATCATGTCACCTGTGAACAAAGACAGTTTTATCTCCTCCTTCCCCAAAGGTAGACTTTTTCATTTCCTTTTCTTACAAATCGCATTCGCTAGGACTTGCAGGCCATACTGAAAAGGAGTGGTGCAAAGAGACGTCCTCCTTGCTCTTGGTCTTAGCAAGTAAGTTTTTTTTCCGTGAAATGCGATATTAGCTGTCGGTTTCTGTAGATGTCGTCTAATTTAGGGAAGTTCCCTTCTATTCCTAGTTTGCTGAGACACAATATTATTTTAATGTAAAACACTGTACAGTTAGCGTGTACAACTGGATTCTGGTTTTGTGAAAAGTATTTTACACGGGGGGAAAGAGCGGAAAGGAATACCCTTACAATTCAAGGTAGTCATCGTTGGCTGGATAACGAGTATTTTTTTTACACATTTTTGTATTTTCTAAATTTGCCTCAATGGACCTACGTTGTTTGCTGTAACAGAAAAATAAGAGTATGAGAACCGACGAGGCGTCCAGAGAGAATGGCTTGCGGACAGGAGAGCGGAAAGAGGCTAAAGCGGAAGCCCAAGGAAACGGACCTGATTTAGTAATTGCGTCATCAAGGGGAAGGCAAGCTCTCTGAGGGCCAGGCCTGATGAGCTACCCCGCGGCGTGATAAGTTGTCCCACCTGGGTCTTGGCTTTGTCCAGGAAACGCTGTTTAATTACCCGGCGTTCCGAGCCGGGTTCTGGTGAGTACGAAACCAGGTTTCCGTCTTTCCAAGTAGTTTTGCTGTTGTTTTAGGAGGAGGAGAAGGAGCTGGAGAGAGATTGATGGGAGTGAACCGAACCACGGAACCGGGGGCGCAGTGACCCGACAAGTCCCGGGGGGGAGGAGGGGAGTGCTCCCCAAACCCCAGCTCGCAGGGCGGGCGCGGGTTCCGAGCCCCGGGCACAGCCGGGCGGCGGGGAGGGGGCAGCAGCGCCCCCGCCTGGCTGTCGCGCTCCCGGCCGGGCTCACCCCGCCGCCCAGGTGCCTCGAGAGCGCACGTAGCTGCCGGCGCTTTCTCCCGGGGCCGCGGCTCCCGCGCCCGCGGTGTGCTGAAGCGACGGCGACAGGCGAGGGGCCCGGGGCCGCCCCGCCTCGGCCGCCGGCTGCCTGCAGCGAGCGCCGCGGACCGGCTGGAGCCGGGTGAGCCGCCGCGCCCGTGTCGCGCCGCAGCCGCGGGGGCGCTGGGGGACGGCGGGCGCGGACGCGCACGGGAGGCACGGGCGGTCGGCGCCGGGCGGACCCTCGGCGGGCAGCGCGCCCACTTCCCCGGGCCGCGGCTGCGGGCGGCTCCGGCCGGCGCGGCCCCTCCGCCTTCAAGTCTGGGAGCTACCGGCCCCACGCTGCCGGTGCCCATGGGGATCCGAGAGTTTCCCGGCGGCGCACCCAGGAGCAAAAGCATCGCCGTGTGAGTAGCGCCCGGGCTCGCGGGGCGCGGGGGCTCGGGGGGCGGCCCTCGGCAGCGGGGACGCGGGGCAGCCCGGGGCTCGGGTAGGGGCGGCGCGCGGTGGAGCTGCTTGGGAAGTTTCGGGCGTTCTCTCAGTCGCCGCTCTCCCCTATCTGCGCTGCCCCGAGGCGCCCGGGGCTGGGCGCGGGAGACGGGACCCGACGCCCAGGTTCCCGGGGCCGTTGGTGTGGCGGGGGGTGGGCGAGCGGTCGGGGGACCAGCGCGGCCCTGCGGCGGCACCTAACCCTGCTGCGCCCTTGCCCGCCCTCGGACCTGCCCCTCACCTGCATCCCCCCTCACTCTCTCCCTCCCCACCCACCTGCCCGCCCGCGGCCTCAGTGGCATGAGGAGGTCACCGGACGTCAGCCCCCGGAGACTGTCCGACATCAGCCCCCAGCTCCGGCAGCTCAAGTACCTGGTGGTGGACGAGGCTATTAAGGAGGACCTGAAATGGTCGCGCTCGGTGGAGGACCTCACTAGCGGGCCCGTGGGGCTGACGTCCATCGAGGAGCGGATCCTGCGCATCACAGGCTACTATGGCTACCAGCCCTGGGCAGCGAGCTACAAAAGTAAGACCCCCCCCCCCGGACCCCCCGCGTCCGCCGGTCCGTCTCCCCTGCCCTTGTCCCTGGCAGCTGGGGAGCAATCTCAGCTACGCGACCAGCCGCCCCCCCTACCCACAGATACAGCCCCAGCTTTGCAACTTTCAGGAGAAACACAGAGACGGAGTTCTCTGGGACCTTTGGGAATTTCTGATACGTTCTCTTACACCCCCTCCCCTTCCCACACACGCTTCTCTGTTCTCACCCACTTGCTCTTGAGGTGTCGCAGTGGGGAGACAGATTGGAAACCCAGTGTACCCTGCACCGTGTGCTTTCCCTGCGGATTCGAAAGTGTTACTCTACCGGGTCCGGGTGTAGCTGGCTCAGGGACCGACTGCAGACCTCGTGGGCCTGGAATTTTAACTCTCCCCTTGGTCTCCTGGGCCCTGGTGATGGTGGAAGATTCCAGGGCCTTGAGTTTAAACTCCTCGGCTCCTTTTGCTCCTTTCTCTATCTGTCCTTTGTGTAGAGGTTAATCTGGATCATTCTAGATACTGGCATTTGGTTCCTGAGAGAGAGAGAGGGTTGGTGCCAGGGGGAGCAGCTGAAACTTTTCCTTGCCAGTGGGCTCCAGCTGATGGCTTTGGCAAAGCTGTGATCAGTCGTACAGGTAGTACCTGTGCGAGCAGGACTGATTTGGTAGGCATTTCTTCCTCTGGTTAGGAAGGGAGAAGTCAGCCACGACCAGCTCCGGATACCTGTAACTCTAAACCGTAATCAGTGGTCCCATCACTGTCATTTGGCATAGCAAAAACGTTTCCCTTTACCATCCCAGTTAAGAAATGAGTCCTGCTTCATTTCATTTGTGATAAAGACTAACAGCTTAATGATTTTGAGATACGTTTTTCCCCTTCGTTGCTTGAAATTGGAACATAGTTTATTGGTCCTTAGGAAAAAAAAAATCAGGCTTTTGTAAATTAATCATATTGAGCTCTAAAAATAGGTCTCATTTTCTCCTAAAACCCTTGATTCCAAGCCAGAGGTCAGCAGTGTGCTGGCAGTTAGCTGGTTACTTTTAAGTTATTTGCAGGGAGAAATATGGGATTTTAATGTTTTGTTTTCATGCCCTTACTTGTTTTTAAGGGACTGCGGTGATTGTGTTTAACTCTGTATAAACCTTTAAAAGGTTATGTGTGTCTCCTCCATTCTCCAGCTTCTGCTGCTAAAATCCTAGCTGCTAAATTGGCTTTGGATGACAGAAGGAACACAAGGGACCAAGTTCTCTTTCAAGCAGAATGCTGGGCGTAGAATGAAACAATGCAAAAGGAACGTAAACCCATAGGAAACCCATTTGTCTTATATGTAAAGATAAGACCTGTCCTGTTTCCACTTGCTGGATTTCGATCAGAAGGTTCCCATGTCTTGGTTCTGTTCTCTGCTTTCTTAATAACTAAAGACAGTCGTGTAAATCAGAGCCTTCCTGGAGTCCTCTAGTCCCCAAAGCCACGTAGAGATCTGTCACTAGTTTTACTGGTGATGTGGCCCCACGTGCTTTGTGGAAATTTTCACTAGGGTTCGTGACTTGGTGGGGAGGCAGGGAGCCACAGCACTGATGACTGTGCTTGGTACAAACACACTTTATAATTAAGACGGGGGACAGGCCGTATGGAAAACGTGTTTCTTGTACCACTAGTGGATTCTTAAATATCCTCTCTCTGAGGCTTCGTTGAAGGGATAATATTAACACACAGGGCAGCAGTGATCACTGGGATTGACTGACGTCCGCTCACGCCAGTCTTTTTGTTCCGTGAAGACTCGCCTTAATTCCAAGGGGAGTTCCTTTTTCTAAAATGCTTTAGGTGACAGCTGACATTTTGATGAATTAATTAGATTTTAAGTTTAAATTTAGAGAAGCTAATGTTTTATTAATATAGTCAAAGACATCTTAGGGCAGTCCTTTGGCTGTTTGCTATTTCTATCAGAGTAGAAGGAAGAATAAAGAGGCTTATCTATATGTTGGTATCGGTTCTTCTGTTTGTCGGCGAATCATCGTATTGAGCAAGCGGGGAGACACGATGATTACAAAATAAATGCGGAGCAGGCTGTGGGCTGCTGCATGCCATGTCCTTGGCATTGGTAGGTCACCTTTCGGCCATCTTTCACAGTGGCTTGTCTGTGTCCCTACTGAAGGAGTCCACAGTGAGGATTTCTAACTATTTGAGGGGTGTAGGTGAGCTCCCTTTGTAGCAGCAGACATTACTGAACTAAGCAAGGATTCATTCTTACTCTCTTGATTTTTGGTCTTTGTTTTGGGAGGCTAAGCTAAGTGAGGTAACTTTCAATAGTGCAGACATGACCTTTGCTCAGTATTTTCTCCTGTCAGTGAGAGGAACAAGTTTCCCTCTAGACAAGGGACTTTTTGTAAGGAATTGTTGGGGGAAGAAAAAGAAAATCAACAAAAACAAAACCAAAAAAACTCCTACTAAAGTCCCCTGGGTCTCACGGGTTGGCATGTATGGAGTGGTCAGCTGAGAATTAAACTAGAAACAAGCAAGTAAGCTGGATCAAGGTCTGGTCCCCAGGGGCTCAAGTCCTGGAAGCTCCACATCCGTATTTCTGAACCAAACCTCTTGGGCAGGATTCTCCGGGGTTCCTTGGGTTCCTGGCTATGAGCATATCCAGAGCCCAGAGAGCAGGTGGTCCAGAGCAGTCGCTCAGTAAATGTTTGGTGAGTGAGTGCATATGGTCTGAGACACTGGCCTCAGCGGGAGAGAACCTTTGACTGGACCTCTGTAGTGGTTTGGGTCCTTGGATTCCTTCTGGTGCCTTCCTTTCCTTTTGGAATGGCTTCCCTCTTTCCGCATTCTCCCATCCTAACTGCATCCTTGGCTTTCCAGACCGTAGGTTAGGCCAGGATTCCTGATGGCAAGCTTTGGTTTCGCCCAGGGTTTCCCAAGCTCAGCACGCTTGAGGTTTTGTCCTGAATAATTCTTTAGTGTGGGGGGCTGTCTTGTGCATTGTAGAGCGCTCAGCGGTGTCCCTGGCCTCTGGCACTCCATTGCCACCACCCCCCCACCCCCGCCCTGCAGTGTGACAGCCAAAAATGTTTCCAGACATGGCCACGTGTCTCCCTGGAGTGTACCTTTGGATAAGAAGCCCTCATAATCTAACGCCAAGGGTATGCTCCAGGTGAACTCTTCTGTTGACCCGTCGTGCTAACCTAAAAGGCCTGGCTTCTGGATTCCTGACCTCCTGTCTTCATTCCTCCTGGACTCCTTCTTCAGTTTTCATGACGGGCCTGGCTCGAATCAACAGCCTTCTGGAAGAGCCTGTTGCCGTTTCAGCTGACATGACTCAGTACCCAATCACCTTAAATCAGGAGCCTGTAGAAGGTGTTTTCGAATTCAAAACAACATGCCTAGAGCCTCTCAGTGACTTCCTTTCCCCTCCCACCTTGTATCACAGAGCCCCTTCGCTTTCTCGGTTGTCCAGTGTAGACACCACTGAGGGAGGGGCGGGGAACGGAGATCAGGGATAAGCCATCAGTGTAATGGTAGTGAGGCCTGGCTCGGTGGGGATGGGTGGCGTTCTGGCACAGAGATGATTGAAGTCACAACTTTGCAGATCCCAGATGGAGCCTCTCAGGCAGGATGAAGGAGCATTTATAAATGCTTATTTTCATTTACTCCTTATTTTCATTTAGTCATTTAGCAAACTTTTTTGGAGCACTTACTAAATGCCAGAATACAGAGATCAGTGATGAGAGAGGAAGCTCACTGCACAGATGTGCACAGATGTGCCTTTGTCAGGAAGCACAGATCAACAAATCTGTGCATCTAGGAGATGGGCACCCTGTTTACAGTCATCAGGGAGGCTGTACTTTGCAGAAGGTTTCCCTGATGGGTGGCTTCAAACAACAGGCCCTTGAACATTTTTCTAACTAAAGAAACTTTTCAGGAATAGCTTTTGGGTGTGTGTGTGGGGGGGTGTTTGTGGTCGTGTTTATGGCTTAAAATGAGGTACAGCTGTCTTTTGAGCAGATGTAGTAATATTACATGGTTTTGGCCTGTTCAGATAAAGGTGATTTTTTTTTTGAAACAATGCTGATGGGTTTTAGTTTTAAGTCATTTGTAGAGAGGAGGGTCGGTTAGTCCCAAATAACCACCCCCCCCCCCACACTCCATGTCTAGTCCACTCTAGCCTGTAGTTGGCAAGTTGAGCCTTGGTTGGGAACATAGGAATTCTGGAGCAGAACCATCCATCTAGCTGGGTGAGGTTTTTTTAGTTCAAGCTGGGAAAGAGGTCACTGGGTAACTCTCCCAGTAACAGAGCAGTCTCATGTTTTTGGATCTTCCAGGTCAAAAGCATCAGAAAGGGTTTGTGTGAGGTCGGGGGCGGCAGTTGGTAGAGAAAGAGCATCTTTCTTCTGCTCTTTGCCATTTCAGCCCAGACTGCCGGTACAGGCTGCTGATGCCATTACCAGTGAAAGCCGGAATGGTGGCTCACGGTATAATTCATGGTGAGCAACTTCTGTTCGGTCCTCCCAAAATAGTAAAGGTCAGGTCAGCAATTCAAAAATGACCCACTTGTAAGAGATTTATAATTTGGTTGTAAATGTTTATTCTGGGTTGGGCCTTGGCATATTGAAATACTAGATCAAAAAGATTTTTAAAGGAAAAGAAGTTGGAGGGGGCAGAAGGCCAGAGTGAGCAGAGAGCATAAACAGCACTTTCTAACGTCTCCGAGAGTCCATTTTATTCCCGAACGGGAATACGTGTTAACTAGGTAATAAACGGTTTTCAGAGAGTCAAAAGAATTAAATGCAGAACTGTTCTCTTGTAGGGAAGCGCAGTGCTCCCCAGTATGCTCAGATCATGGACAGGGGTTAGAAACCCTTTGCCTCTGGTCGTGGAGGGCCATGTTCTCCCTTCCAGGGAAGCAGAGCCCGGGCCCAGAGATTTCTCACTGTTCTGCAGAAGTCGCCCCTGGTTCTGTTTACAAGGCGCCTGATCTAAAACACTAGGGGT